GAAAAAAAAAAAAAAAACAGCCCCAGCAGAGAAAAAAAAAAAAAAAACGAAAAAAAAAAAAAAAAAAGAAGCGGGGGGGGGGGGGGGAATCCAGCCCGCGCTGACATTTAATTCCACGTGATCTAACTGGGCACCGACTGGGAAGCTGAGGGGATAAAGTGCAACTCTTTGCGTTTAAGAGGGGACAGAAAGATGGACGGGCGCCCCCACCTCACCAAAAGAAGCGACCTTTCCAGTTTTTCTGAACGTTAAGCCGCCTTCCCGACCGCAGCTTACCCAAAATTTCCTTCCTCCGCTGGGTGTGGGGCTGCTCGGTGTAAACCCACTCGAAGTCCGCGCGGGCAGCCCTGTTCCCCATCCCTGCCACACTAACGCGGCTCGCCTCTGGCGCACGAGAGTTAAGCGCGCTCCAGCGAGACACTTTATATCAGCTCGGAGAACGCTCGAGACAAACCCCGCCCCATCCTCGCCCGCTTCAGCCGAAGAGAGAGCAAATTATGTGCCTAGGCTTAGGTTCTTGTTAGGACGATAACATTAATAATAACAATAGTTAAGAGTGCCTCGGTATGGATTTGGGCTTGGGGTGTTTTCTCCAATTGTTGTTGATCTTGAATTGATTTACAGAGGAGATATTATTGGGATTGCAATGTGAAATTGATCGAAGTGTGTGCCAAGAATGTACACTTCCTATGTCTGTGTATAATAAAATTGTGTTGGATCCAATACACGACTCCCAGAAAGGCATAACAGTTGGAGGAAGCAGCAGCAGCTGAGCTGGATAGCAAGAGAGATGCAACTAAAGTTGTGGATTTTTTGCTGAAGTAAGGAGCATAACACTGAGAAGAAGAACCATGTTTATTGCAATTATCATTGAGTGCCTGCTTTACAAGGAAGAGGGACCCTGAACAATGGAGAAGCAAACGTTTTTATAGAAGTTGAGGGCTATGAGGTGGATAATCCTAGGGATCTGATCTTCACTGTGACAAATTATTTTGAAGAAATTCTGAGTTTTTTACAAGGACATGACAAGGCTGCAGGAAAGAGGGAGATAAAAAGGGAAGTGTCCTATGCTGATGTAGAAACTCCTGGTTCAAATCACAACTCAGTTTTAAAGTTCCCTGAATGACTTCAGGCCAGTTACTTTCTTTCACCTCAAGCTTCATCCCAGGGCTGTTGAAACAATGAAACAAGTAGAACCTTTGCTGCTACTATTGTTGTTATTACAGGTAGTCCTTGCCTAACAACCACAATTGGGAACCAGGATCTCAATCCTTAAGCAAGATGCCCATGTGACTGCTTTGCTCAACAACCACAATCTGGGCACTCCTGGTTGCTGTCGTTAAGTGATCTCCTGGGTTGTTAAGCAGGCAGAGCGAAAAGGCTGGAGCTGAAATCCTCCCAGCAGGCAGCCCTTTCGCTCTCAAATGTTCCTAAAGCCCACCGAAGGGTTTGCCCCCCACCTCCATGGACAGGGGGGAGGGAATCCTTTGGGGTCTGGAGGATTTGAGCTCCATTCCTGCACACCACGGAGAGGTTTCCCCTCCATCCTCGAAGGGGAGGGCAAACCCTTCGGTGGCTCTAGGAACATTTGAGAGCGAAAGGGCTGCCTGCCAGGAGATTTCAGCTCCATGTGGAGCTGAAATCCTTCAGCAGACAGCTCTTTTACTCTGTCCTTTTTTCCCCTCCCCAATCTCGATGGTGTGCAGGAAAAGAGCTCAAATCTTTAGGATTTTTGCTTTTTTTTCTTACACCCG